TTTCATAGTGTACATGAATCACAGGTTCTGTTTTTCTGCACATGCATTACAAAGTGTTGGTAAAACTAGGCAGGACTCTCTGGTAGTAACAAAATTCCCTGTGTCTCCTTGGGGACCCAAGACTGTACGGTCCCAGGGCTGCACATATGTTCCACCTCCAATGAGCAACCCTAGTCGTCTATGAGTCTTGAAAGCATTGCATAGTTGCAAATTTACCTGCCACGAAGCTTCAGTGACTTCCCAAAGACTCATGCCCTGGATATTTAGGATACTGTATGGGGAAGATTTTTTTTTTTTTTCTTTAAGGGGAAGGTCAAGTATCCCAAGTGTGAAATCTGGAAAGGAAAAATTGAGGTCTAAGTATTAGAGCCAATGCTCTATTTGCTTGGAGACTTTGCAACATAGTTGCAACATGACTTTTAAAATAAAACTGCAGTTGATCTCAGTCTCACACCTTCAGAGGTACTCCTGGGATGCAGCTCAGTGGGAAATGTGATCTCAGACATCTACATTCATTTTCCTGCAATATATATATAGTTTTTATTCTGTGCTTTGTGGGTATTAGCCTGTGATTGTTTATAGTGGTTACTTTCTTTGTAGCCCTGGCTATTTATCTGTTGTTTTGTTTTGTTTTAACATGCAGACATGGTTTCTATGTAACAAATAGCATTGTCTGCAAACCTTACAGGAGTCTGCCTCACAAAAAGTGATGGAGTTTCTCCCGGGACAGGCGGACACGGTCCTTTCCCATGAGAGTTCACGTCAGTGCAATAATAGACCTGCATTTCGCCAAGGGTGATAAGTGGTTTTATTTGTCACTTTGCCCACCGCCCGGGCTCAAAGTGTTCCATTGTGCTAAGACTTCGTGCCTGTTACTTCGTTGCTTGTGACATGTGCCAGAAAAGGTTACCCAATGAAACCTGAAATCTGACTTGCTGGAAGTGAGCAGGTCCATTTTTGCTGAAAACACCACCTAGGATCACCGATAAAAGAAACTATTGTTCTCAAAAGCCAAAGTTGGATTTACATGTTAAGTATTCAACATAGTTTGCATAAGAAGTTGAGTTCAGTTATCTCCGAGAGTGGGCTTGCTGTGTGTGTTTTCCGGGGTGCATTCCTGCAGGTGACTGTGAGGGTGCAAAGGAGTTATTGGAATGAATCAGCAAGAGAACATGCTTTGATGTGAAACTCAGATGGGGGAGTTGAGAGAAGGCTGGTCCTGCACTGTGGATCCAACCCTCTCCCTCTGTAATCTGGAGCTAGAGAAGTGAGAAATTAGTCCTCCTGCCCCCTATCTCCAAATGGGAACAGCAATGCCAACATTCAATCAATAGCATATAATCATGTGTCAGTAAAATTGCAGATAACCAGTGTTCATGTCAAGTTTCATAGAGTTGATTCCAAATAGCTTTTGAAATGCTCTTGATGAGGGGTTGGCCATTCATAGACCACGGTCCAAATTTGGCTCGTGGCCTATTTTGCAAATGAGGTTTAATTAGAACATTTTGCAAATTAAAATGTGTAAAAATAGCAGCCATTCACCTGGGCATGGTGGCGCATGCCTGTCATCCTAGCAGCTGGGGCTGGGGGGGGGGGGGGGCTAAGGCAGGAGGATCCTGAGTTCAAAGCCAGCCTCAGCAACTTAGCAAGGCCCTAAGCAACTCAGCGAGACCCCGTCTCTAAATATAATACCAAAAGGGCTGGGATGTGACTCAATGGTTAAGCACCCCTGGGTTCAATCCCTGGTACCATAAATAAATAGATAGCCATTCATGTTCTGGGAGCTATAAGTGGGTTATCTTCACATCTTCCCAATTCTCTGTTGCTTTGTGATTTAATAGAGTTTTTTTTTTTTTTTTAAGGAAGAAAAAGCTTTTAGACTGTCTTATCTTAGTAATGGGAGTGCACCCTCTTGGTGGTGTAGATTGTCCATCCGAGTCTTAGTTTTGGGAAAGTGTAAATCAAACCTTCATATTTTGAAAGCATTATTTTCTCATATGTTTCTTTGGAAGAGACCATCTTTGGTTTTTTTCTCCATGAGTGTACCATATCTAGAAAGCTCACAAGTTGACTTATTTCCAGGGCATACCCTCAGGTGCAGCACAAGCAGTGTGGATGGTGTGTTCCTTCATTTTAGCTTTCCTCTTACTTTGCGGTGATGATTCACTTGTCAGCTTAGCTCTGTCCTGCAAGGATCTACCATTCCCTTTCGTAGGTGAAGGATGGAACCCTCCATAACAGAAGGGTGCTGCTGTGACTCTCTTATCTCAAATGGGAATAGCACTCCTCTGACTTTGCATTTCACCCGGGGATCTTATGATCTAACCATTTTGATTGACAAGTTTGAGCCTGAAACTGGACTATCTCTTGACAAGTCGAAGTTCACCATTACGAGAAGCTTCTCAGTCAATCATTCAGCAAATGTTCACTGAGCATTTGCTGTGTGCTAGGGGCTCTTGTGAATGCTAGGAATGTAGGAGCGAAGGAAAGAGATAGAGCTTTGATTAGCCCCAGGGCAGGCAGACAGAAAAGAAATAAGCACAATCATCTATCAGCTTCCAAGGAGGATTTGCTCCAAGACCCTAGGGTCTTGGAGGACACCCAAACCCAGGGATGCTCAAGTTCCACATAAAAACTGTGTACTGTTTGCATGTAACCCATGCACATCCCCCTATAGGTTTTGATCTTCTCCAGTAACTCATGGTACGTCATGCATGGAGTGCTACATGAATGTTGTTACACTGACAGGAAAATGTCTGGGTGCATTCAGGACAGATGGAATCATCTTTTCTAGTATTTTTAATCTGCAGTCTGTATTTTGACTTTGCAATTTAATAGTGATGGGGGAGGAAGCAATTAGAAGTGTTGGGAGTCACCCAGGCTCCAAAGACTAACTTCCCCATCCCCCAAAAGAGCCGACCAATGGTGAGCCCTACTGGCTCACATGATCCTTACCCACCAATCAGAGCCCTGCTGGCTCACATGATCCTTACCCACCAATCAGAGCCCTGCTGGTTCATATGATCCTTACCCACCAATCAGATTAGCCCTGCTGGCTCACCTGATCCTTACCCATCAATCAGATTAGCCCTTCTGCTCACCTGATCCTTGCCCACCAATCAGATTAGCCCTGCTGGCTCACCTGATCCTTACCCACCAATCAGATTAGCCCTACTGGCTCACCTGATCCTTACCCACCAATCAGATTAGCCCTACTGGCTCACCTGATCCTTACCCACCAATCAGACTAGCCCTGCTGCTCACCTGATCCTTACCCACCAATAAAAAAGCACCCCATGCCAACTGTCAAACCGCCCCTGGCTCTATAAATATGCAGAGCTGTTCCTCAATAAATGGGCATTTGCTCCGATGTCGAGCCTTGTTCCTTCTTTCATGAAGAATCACATCAAAGTCATGGAAGTGCACCATCTTGGTATGATCAGGAGTCCAAAGGGCCTTACTTTTGAGAAAATGTCTGAAAGATGTACATTATTTTACAGATGACATGGGCTAAATCTACTGGTATAATAAGGACTTTGGAGAAAATGGTGGTAAAGTTTTCTTGGTCAGGGGGACTCTATTAGCTTTCTGGTATTGAAACAAATACCTTGAGATGTTCTTGTGTTAAGAGCTGATGGAATGTGAGGAACCAGGGGCAGGTGCCTGAGCAGGAGCTTGGCGTGAACCTGAAGGCAGATTCAGTGGAGAGAGGCATCCTGGAAGCCAGGAGGGTGTGTTGCAAGGAGAAGGAGGTGACCACTACGGGTGACCAAAGCGGACTTCTCACAAGCGAGGGGCCTATGCTCCTCACACCAGAAAAACCACGAAACTTTCCCATTTTAAATAACAAAGCAACTAACCTACACAAAGCCCCAGGAACTGTGCATCCCAGAAGAAAGCTAGGGATTTATTTTTTATTTTTGTAATTGTTCTAATTAGTTGTACATAAGAGCAGAATTTCAATTTCAATTCATTGTTCACAAGTGGAGCACAAGTTTTCATTTCTCTGGTTGTACACCATGTAGAGTCACACCATTCGTGCAATCGTACAAGTACCAGGGGAATAATGTCTGATTCATTCCACTCTCCTTCCTACGCCATACTCCTCCTCCCTTCACTCCCCTCTGCCTAATGCAAAGTACCTCTGTTCTTCCCTATCCCCTCCCCATGGTGAATCAGCATCCACGTATCAGAAAAAAACATTTGGCCTTTGGTTCTTTGGGATTGGCTTATTTCACTTGGCATGATATTCTCCAGATCCATCCATTTACCAGCAAATGCCATCATTTCATTCTTCTTTAAGGCTGAGTAATATTCCATTGTGTATATAAACCACAGTTTCTTTATCCATTCATCTATTGAAGGGCACCTTGGTTGGCTCCACATTTTAGCTCTTGTGAATTGAGCTGCTATAAACATTGATGTGGCTGTGTCCCTGTAGTGTGCTGATTTTCAGTCCTTTGGGTATAGACTAAGGACTGGGATAGCTGTATCAAACAGTGGTTCCAGTCCAAGTTTTCTAAGGAATCTCCAAACTGCAGAAAGCTAGGAATTTTTTAATATAACTCCCTTGGCCCTTGTTCCAAAGCTTGGAATCACTGACAGTCACAACACGGGTACATTTTCTCCTGGCTTCTACGTTGTTAGATATGGTCTCTCTGGGCCTCCTGTGCAGATGGCGTTGTAGCTGGAACCCTGGGCCTTGTTCTGCTGTGGGGGCATCTGTAGGTGGCCTGTGGTGTGGGGCAGCTGCCTGAGCTCAATTTGCAACTAGAAATGATGAGCAGACCCTCCGGCTGCGATCACACGATGCCTTCTCCATACAGGTGATTTCAGCACCCAATTGAGATTTGGGTTTTCAGAAACCAGAATGGGTAGAACTGCAAAACTGGACATGGTACAGAAGTCATCGGATTACATGACAATGCACATAAAATTGGTGTCACGCTGCTGACCCTGGTCGGCGACTCAGATGGCTTCTCTTTTCCCTGGGGTTACAGATCCGTCGGCACCACCAGCCCCCGCTAACCTCCAACTGGCCAACTCCACCGTCAACAGTGACGGGACCGTCACGGTGACCATTGCCTGGGACCTCCCCGAGGAGCCAGATATCCCCGTGCACCACTACAAGGTGTTTTGGAGCTGGACGGTCAGCAACAAGTCCCTTGTCCCCACAAAGAAGAAGCGGAGAAAAACCACAGATGGGGTGAGTGGGAATGAGGAGGGAGGGCCGCGTCGTGCAGGGTGTATGTGAACCCCAAGTCGGAAGAGTGGCCCGTCTTGAGCTAAAAGTGTTGGTCTCCTGCTTGGAGCTGTGGGGAGGGGGTGGAGTCCTCAGGCATTAGGACCCAAGGGTCACTGGAGGTGTGTCCTTGAAAGGGACAATAGGACCCCAGCCCCTTCCTTTACCACTTGGCTTCTAAGCAATGAGAAGAGCAATTTTACTGTGCACCTACTCTGGCCATAATACATTGCCCACAGCAAAGGGGTCACCAGGTGTGTACCACGGCACATATCTGTAATCCCAGCAGCTCGGGAGGCTGAGACAGGAGGATCGCGAGTTCAAAGCCAGCCTCAGCAACTTAGTGAGGTGCTAAGCAACTCAGTGAGACCCTGTCTCTAAATAAAATATAAAATATGGCTGGGGATGTGGCTCAGTGGTCAACTACCTCTGAGTTCAATCCCCATACCCACCCCACCAAAAAAAGAGGACCACTGAGACCTCTAAAACTGTCAGCCAGGACAGACCTTTTCTAAGTTGATCTTCTGAGGCATTTGTTAGAGTAACTGAGCACCAAGGAGCATGCGTGCCAAGGGTTTCTGTCCCATCCTAGGCAAACACAATTGAATTGAGTCCACTCACCTACTCTTATTCTAATGGCAGTTACAACGTCACCTCCAGAAATCAAAGCCACAATTAACATACGTCCTTCTTACCTATGTAGCCACAAAGATGAAATAATGTAAGATGTCCTTTATACGCAGGTCTCTCTATCTCTCTCTCTCTTAAAAGAACTTTGTAAATTGAAAGGCAAATATTCATAATTCTCCTATTTCGAGTTTTTCCACCTGCACACAACTTAGAAAGTACAGTTGGGCCACGTGTTTTTCACACTGATTTAAGAAGAATCTGAAGGGCTTTATCATCCAGATGCCAAGAATTACATCTTCATTGAGCCCTTCTCTGCAGTGAGATTTCTGTCATAGTGAACAGGACATTTTGGTGCATAAAGGAGTTAGCTGCTCTATTTACTTTTAGTGTACCTTCCTTTATTTTGATGTTATAACATTTATATAAACACTCTTCTCCCTCATTTATGAAGCTGATTTCCTAAATGAGTTCTGTTTAAAAATACTTTTTAAAAGATAGGATTTTTTTTTGTACTAAAGATTTTGATATCTGTGCTACTTAGAATTATAAATTATGTCTCCAAAAGCCCATATCATCGATATTTAACTGTTAAACTGTTTTCATTTTGAAGATATTGTCATACAGGTTGATTTCTTATGCTGAAGAATTCTGCCATGTTTTGTCTGATAGAAATAGCTCAAGAGCTAAAGTTGTAAAATCACTGGAATCCAAAGGGAAAAAAAAAATGACATGATAAAATGTTAAAGTTCCCTACTTCAGGTGGCATTTTATGACATTCGTAACCAGACAGCATCAAAGATACACTAGGGATATGAGCAACTGATGTCTATCATATGCCCATTATATAAACAAAGCATAAATCATAAATTAAATTAATCACAATGATCCAGTGCAGTTACTAATTTAAGTATCCGTGAGCCCAGTGTTTGACTCACCTTTTCACTGCAGTGGCCAAAAGAACTGACAAAGAACAATTTTAGAGGAGAAGTTTATTTCGGGCTCATGGTTCCCGAGGTCTCAGTCCATAGATGGCTGACTCCATAGCTCTGGGCCCAAGGTGTGGCAGAACATCAGGGCAGAAAGGTGTTCTGGAGGAAACCAGCTCAGGACTTGGCAAATAAGAGAGAGAGAGAGAGAGAGAGAGAGAGAGAGAGAGACAGCTCACCACGGACAAAATATAAATCCCAAAGGCATGTCCCCCAAGGACCCACCTCCTGCAGCCACACACACTCCACCTGCCTATAGCTACCACCCAGTTAATCCCTATCAGCGGATTGATGCACTAATTGGATTACACCCCATAATATAGCCATTTTACCTCTGAACATTCTCTTTTGAGGGACACTTTATATCTAAACCATAACACCCAGGGTAGCCCAAATTATGGGTCACTATCTCATGAGTGTCTTGTATTTTCCAGTGGAAAAAAGACAAGCTACATTCTGTATGAATTATTGCACTTTGAGATATTAAAGTTTGGCCAACTGATCAATGAGATTAGAAAACAGAAAACCACCAAAGAAATAAGACACCAAGGAATTTCTTCCTGGGGATCGACTATTCCCATTTCTTAAGATGCCGTTCTGATATCCATGGTAACTAAATAAAGTGGGGACTTCCAAGTGAAGGCTCTTTGAAAAGTGAATTTTAATTGACCTGGCGGAAAACAGAGTTTAGGAAGAATGAGACGCAATTAAACAGATAAATTCTACTTAAAGGAAATGGGGAACCCAGATTTATGCAGACCTGCTAGTGGTTAAAATAGGAAATCACCCTTGGGGAAGCAGAGTCTCTCTGGGGATACCGGCTGGTGAGCTGTTGAGACCAGATGTCACCAGGGGCAGCAATGGCAGTCCAGAATCTGACCCAGACTTCCACTGAGGGGCTGATCTGATACCACAGACAGCATTAAACTCCTGATTTGGAAATGCCCCTCAACATCCTGTTCCCTCTCTGCAAAGAGACCTCCAAACACACCAAGTTAGAATCAGGATGCTAATAGAGGAATTTCAGCAAAAGATTTACTTATAGGATTCAATGTTTTACCATTTCAGACATCAGTGTAACTAGATACATAAAACTGGAATGATCTTAAAGTAGCACATATTGCATATAGAAAACTGGAATGTTCTCTGCTGGAAAGAATACTACTAATCCTCTGTTGATTGATGTTGCATTAATAACTGACGTATTTTTCTTCATGAATGCTAATTACCACCAGGATGACCCCTTTATAGAAAAGCATTCTTTTCAATATCACTTTTTTTTTTCTTTTTGGTACCACGGATTTAACCCAAAGGCCCTCTGCTACTGAGCCATATCCCAGGCCTTTTTATTTTTGAGATGGAATCTCGCTAACCTGTTTAGGGCCTCACTAAGTTGCTGAGGCTGGTCTAACTCCTGATCCTCCAACCTCAGCCTCATGAGTCACTGAGATTATAGGCATGTGCCACTATACCTGTCTACCACCTGTCTTTTTTAAGTGACCAAGTGCATTCTATTTAATGAGTGTTTTAAATTCTAAGGCAATGATCTTCTTTGTCTTGAATACAAGTTCCTGGAAGGGCGCTTTACTAAACTTCTCCTCAGTGTAATCTTCAGTTCTAATTCCACCTTGCTCTGTGCACCTGGAGACATCACCTTCTCCTTTAGCCTTTGCAGAATTCCTGTCTTGTCCCCAAGATATTAGGCCAATTACGCAGTTTTGCTTTACTTCCTTTCAATCGCAGCAGCATCTATAGAAAATTGGGTCAGTGTTTGACATTGACAATAATGATGGCAGAAATATCTTCAAGCATTTTTTTTGAAGCTGATTTGTTTTGTAACTTTTGGTGGAACTGCACTCAGGAGATGCAGAACAGTTAGCAAAGAAGGGCAATTAATGCCATCTCATAACTGTCCCGGGTCTCTGGCAACACAAGCCTTTGTAACTTCATTAGGAAGAGCCCTCTTTTCTGTTCAGACTGCTGCCTAGAAGGAAGTGTGTTTGAAATCATTTGCTCCTGCACATGCAGTTGTTGAATTAGGACAATTATTATTTAACGGGTTCTGGCCTTTTTATGAAATCGATTTTGATCCGCGGTAAAAGTGGATTTTCCATGGTGCAAATCCACACAGTGTCTGACCTTGGGAAGTTGAAGGTCCATGCAAGCAAAATGTTGACGTGCTTCACAATGTCTGGTAAGATTTGCGGTGGAAACGAGAGGCGAAGACCGTTTCTAATGGGGCTCGGGGATACTCCCTCTGTTTGCAGCTCCAGAATTTCGTGGTCCTGGAGAGGCTTCAGCCAGATTACGACTACACCGTGGAACTGCAGGCCATCACATACTGGGGGCAGACCCGCCTCAAGAGCGCCAAGGTGTCCCTTCACTTCACGTCCCCACACCCCACCAATTACAGTAAGTGACCTCCACATGCGTCTTGAGCTCGACTGTGACACACACCTGTGTATCTTATGGAAGAACGAGGTGCAAAACAATTTCACCTCTGGAGACATCTTTGTGGTGTTTATTGTTGGTGCAATTGTCTTGGCGTCGTGAAGGAAACTGAACAAGAAAACAGGGCAGGATGCACCTCGGTGGTAGAGCACTTGTGTAGCACAGGTGAGTCCCTGGGTTCCGTCCCAAGGACCGCCACCAAAAGAAAGAAAGCCGTACCTTGTGAGCCATCTATTTATGCACTTCCGTTATTTGCAGGCTTTGTGCACAAGCACACTTCTCTCTAAAGGGAACACAAACTGTCAAATTGTTGTAGTTCTTGTTTTTCTCTTGAAAGTGGCATGACTGTTTTTCCTTGGTGTCACACTGTGGTTGTGTTCCTTTTTGGACAGCTACCTAATGCTCCGTTGAGTGAAGTTACTTAAGAATTCCCACATTGGTTTTCCTTGTTTCCATTCTTTTTTTTTTTCCCCTTAAGTAGTATGTTTGTCACCAACTGAGCAAAACAAGAGGGTCTCACAGGACATGCACATCTTAGTTGTAAAATAAGTTCCTTGATGTTTGTGGCTTGTTCAGTGTGCGGGGCTGGTAGGGACTGCCGTGTAGGAGCACCTGGAAAGGGCTCAGGGAACCAGGGCAGGAATGAGAGAGACGGCCAGGGGCATCCCTTGTCCTGGGGACCCTGGGGCCATTGGTTCATTAGTCTAGCAGAACCCTGCCTCCCTCAAGGAGTTGGTCTCGATGAGAAGGCAAAGAATGCACTCAACTTTGCAGAGGCAACGCTAGCTCTGCAGAGTTAGATGCAGCAATTGCTGATAATTATCTTCCACCACCTGGGAAAAAGGCAGGCTCCACATGAGCAGGTTGGTCGGATATGACACTTTCTACAAGTACCAGAATCACAGCTTCCTGGCTTTTGGAGAAATCCTCTCTCTGGAGATTGAATAGATTCAAAGGGGTCAATTTTTATGTATAAGTCCAGGTACTATATAACTGTTCCCCAAAACATCTCATGGAACTATTTCTATGTGTTAAGAAGTTTCATTTTTTTTTTTTTTTTTTGGTACTAGGGATGAAACCCAGGGGCACTTAATCACTGAGCCACATCTCCAGCCCTTTTTTTATGTTTTATCTAGAGACAGGGTCTCCTGAGTTGCTTATGACCTCACTGTGTTGCTGAGGCTGGCTTTGAACTTGTGATCTTCCCATCTCAGCCTCCAGAGCCGCTGGGATTACAGGCCTGCGCCATCAAACCCAACAGCTTCATTCACTTTTAAATGTAGTCATTCATTCATTCATTGCATTGTCTATGATGCTAGAAATACTATGCTAAAATACTACACATACATACATAATGCGCAATACCCTTTAATTGCATGATATTGTATATATATGATGTACATCCTCGTATAGTGTATATGTCCTGTAAAATTTTCTATAAACATAGTGTACATGGCTGTATATATTCACAGACATATGCACTCACCTATACAAATACAGTCATTTCTCAGTGTCTCTGGGAGATTGGTTCCCAGAGTACTGTCCCATGGATACCCAAATCCAAGGGAAGTCAAATCCTTTACATAAAATACCACAGTCTTTGCAACTAACCCATGCACATACCCCATGCACCTTAAACCATCATGACTTACGATACAACGTCAATACTATGGCGTGCATGGTCGGTCTAGTGTATCGTTTAGGAACTATTAACGAGAAAAAGGGGGCTGGGGGTGGGGCTCAGTGGTACAGCCCTTGCCTCCCATGGGTGAGGCATCACATAAAAGTAAATAAATAAATAAAGATTAAAAAAATATAACAAGGAAAAGTCCTTATGTGCTCCATACAACAGCAATGTTTTCCCCAAGTATTTTTGAGGGAATACTGTTGAATCCACAGATGTAGAGCCTACAGATATGGAGGGCTGAGTGTACACACACACACACACACACACACATATGTGCGCACACACACGTAGACATTTTCCCCAACCCTGGATGTATTCTGGTCTCCGCCTTAGAAGTGCCTGATCTTGAATTTGGGAGATAAATGTAAAATAAAGACCCTGTGCATTGCCTGCAGAGCCCAGAGCTAACATGGAGGAGGGGAAAGAGCGCCACATTCTTCCCCGTGAGCCCCCGTCCTCTGTGCGCTCCTGACACACACACACCTTTCCATACAGAAGCAGGGCACAGATAAGGAAGGGCTGGCCAGAGCACGCAGGGCAGAGGACCCAGCCTGGGAGGGAGAAGGAGGCGGGAGGCCATTCTCTCCTGTGCCTGGACCACCTGCTAGTGCCTCCCTCTGCCTCCCTCTGACCGGTGCCGCTTTGAGCTGCCTCGCAGCACCTCCACCTGCAGGGCAGCAGGCCCCCCAGACCCAGTGCCTCCAACCATGAACTCGCGAGCCCCTTCCCCCCTCACCAGGGCCAGAAAGTCCTTTGTCTCCGATTTTAAATCACATGTGACCTCTGTCCAGCTGTTCCTCAAGCTCAAACCGTGTCATCTCTTTCTCATGAAATTCAAATCGTCATCCTGTAGAGTTCCACTTTCTTTTCTTGTTGTTTCCCCCCAAACCCTATCCTCAGCCGCGATCCGCCTTATTTCTCTCCAACACCAAAATCTTATCAAATTGCATCCAACGTCTGCATCACTTCTTTTCCCGTGGACGGTGGGGATTCCACCCGTGCTGTGAAACGGGCATGTCCCTCTGCACCCGGGCTCTTCCCAGTCAACAACATTCTTTCCCCGTTAGCAACTGGAGTGGGTCTGCCAACTCCCGTAATTTAATATGTGTGTCTTCCCAGAACAGGAGCAACAGGGAAAAGCTGCCACCTCAACTGCTCATTGTTGAGGTTACATCACCCGGGGTCTGTCTGGCTGTGGTCCCGCTCACGTGAAAACGTCTGTGGAGCGCTCCTTGGCCACAGCACGTGCTTGGCCTTCTCAGTCCTCCTGGGCCCTCCTCACCCAGCTCTGCAAACTCAGTGACTTCTTTTTTGGATACCAAGGACTGAACTCAGGGGCACTCGACCCCTGAGCCCCAGCCCCAGCCCTATGTTGCATTTTATTTAGAGACAGGGTCTCACTGAGTTGCTTAGCACTTTGCTATTGCTGAGGCTGGCTTTGAACCCATGATCCTCCTGCCTCAGCCTCCTCAGGGAGATCTTTGAGGATCTCCTTCTTCTGAGTAAGGTCCCAATCCTTTCTCTGTCCCCTTAGGCCACATTCCACAGTCTATTTTAAGCCCCTCCCTCTCAGTAAGATAAATCCCCTCTTGTGTAAGTACATCTCTCCCTTACCCCAGGGTTCTCCTCTGTAATCCAAGTGGACCGTTCATCCGTCTGCCTAAGGCAGACTCTACTCGGTGGTGTCTAGACCCACGCCTGCCTTCCCAACTCACACACCTGTGTCGGCTGTTGTGAGCATCTGTCCTGGTGAGACACCACTGGTTATCTGTCTGTGTGTAATCCCACGTGGGTCATCTGTCTGTATGGGTTATCCATCCTGACTCCTGTGTATAATCACTGCACCATGCATACGAGTGAGACGGGATGAACAAGGTATCCCTTTCCTTCCCTAGAACCTCAGGGTACCTTGGATGGATCTTCTCAGCCTTCATTTTAAAAGCATGCTCTTCCTTAGTCTGGTTTTTCCATCCAACCTCTTTCCTAGGACATTCCAGAGCTTTCTATAGGTGTCATTCGGTTGATCCATCTGATACAGGAGTAAAAACAAGGACGAGGGAGACAGAAATGGTATTTTTTTGTTATTTTCCAGCAACCAACGTCCTCTGTCTTTTCCAGGATGTTTGCATATTTGAGTCATGTGGCTAACCATACCAGACGAATTCTCTTTCTGGGTGAGAGTTTCTACCCTGTGGATAGACACTAGAATTAGATCTGCTAAGTGAGTAAGTTGCCATACGTAACATTAAGATCTTGACAACCAAGATATTTCATTGATTCCTAAGGGTTAGGATCTCATATAATCATCTTTAAAAATTAGACAGTGTCTTTCCTGACCCAAGAGAGTATGACGGCTAACCTCACAATAGCGGCTTTATCCTAAAGACTAATTCCCTAGAAATAGCTGCATTCAGCTGACGGATAATCTTGCACGTCTTGTAGATTCAGAAAAGTAATGAAAGCAAAAACACAGAGCAAACTCCCTACAGCGACCTACATTGCTCGGGTCTCTGGTTATTTTACAGAAGAGACTGGCTTTGTAACAGATTATGTGGGATAGAGCTGAATGTTTGTCAAGCTTTTATATCTGAAGCTTGATATATAATCTCATAGACACTACTGTATGACTTTTACAAGAACACTCCATATTTCATCATGATCCACCTGGAAGTAAAGAATAATTAGGACTTTACACTCTAAGCAAGAGAAATTATATTTTATAGGAAGTGGGGGAGTAGTAACTGTCAGCATATAAATTACTTTTTGAGTTATATTCTTCCAGGTCTGCAGGCTACCAGGGGTTTTAACGATAAATATTTTCATGCAGGCAGAAGCTGAATGTGCATGCAGTTTTATAAGAGTTTCCCTTGAAGGCTGTAGGAGGTAACTCTGTCTTTAATGGAAATGTAGTGTGCCTTCGTGGAGGCAGGAGGAATAACTCCAAGGATGACAGACTCTCAATATTTTATTGTTACCTCCTATAATGGGAATATTCTTCTGACTTTCCAAAATATGAAAAAAATGGAGAGAATACTCTGAATATCTTAATCTGTAAAGTTAGTTTCAATTTGGATGTTTGAAAAAATAGCATGGATCTTTGATTTTCTTAGTACTTAGGGCTACTATAGAATAGAAAGCAGATTTCATGCCAAAGTGGAAGAGATGGTCCTACAAACTCAGACACACACCCTAGCATTTCAGCGTGCACAGTGTGTGACTGTCCCGTAGCCCTGGCACACTTGAGCGACCCTACTTGTGAATGGATTTCTGCCCT